AAACCCCTCGTCTCGAATTGTATAAAGAATAAAAGGCAGCAGCAGCAGCACTACATTCGCTCGTTCGCCAGCGAAAAACCTTATCTTTGTTACACAAAAAAAAAGAAGGAAAACAACAAGGCAACGATGTTGTTGATGATGATGAATTTGCCCTGATTTCGACACAAAAATAAACAAAAAAAAAATGGAAAACTGCAAAGAAAAAAAAGAGAGGCAAGGCAATAGAGGCGTTGTAAACTAAAGAAGCAGAAATAAAAAACAAAAATTAGATAAGACGAAATTGAGTCGCAAGCCGACAAAGAGGCCAGAAAGTTTTCCAAGCAATTCGCAAAAAAAAAAACTGCCACAAAAATGTGACAAAAAACAAAAAAAAAAAGAATTATGAACAATGCAGCAAAGTGCAGCGCGTGTGTGGCCTCGCTGAAATGGAGGGCGATTGCGGACCGGAGGAATAGGAAAATATTTTTTTTCAGCAGTTGTCTAAATAACGAAGCCAGAAAGCAAACGAACTAAATTGCTGAAAAACTGAAAAAAAAACAGCGATGGCGGAATGAAAATAAACGAAAACGTAACAAAAATCAATTGTCGCCAACCAAACGTCAATACAAGTGGCCGTGCGTGTTGCTCTCTCTTTCTGCCCCCCTCGCGCCACCATCTCCCCGTCCTTGTCACAATTCCCGAATGTTGGTGTTCTGTATCTGTGTGAGTATCGTCAAAATTCAGCCGCAATTGAAACTATTTGTAAGCGGGCAGAAGGCAGAGTTGAGCGAGTTCTATGAATTTAATTGTTGCGTCGACAACGGAAAAAATAAAAAAATAAACAAACAGCAAAAAAGAATTCCAAATAAGGCAATTTTATTCTTCTCTTAAAGAAGAACGTCTTAATCAAAAAGTTTAATAAGTTACGAAATATTTAAAACCATTTAAAACGTTTGGCACATATTTCAGGGGAAATTTAAAAAAAAATGTACAAAATATATCATATTTAGAAATAAATTTATTAAAATTATAAGTCATTAAGCTATTAAGAAAAAAGGTTCCTATTTAAATACGATTTTCAACTTAACATCAAAATCGACGTGTACAAATTGAAACAAAATGTATTATATATAAAAGCACTATGTAAAACAATCAAATTTTTTATATTATTACACTAGTAAAATAAAGAACTACCAAGCACTGACAAAACTTACATAACTCTTTAATTTACTTACACCTTTTTGTGAAGTGTACATATAATTCGTTGAATCCAACATTCTCAATTAAAAGATTAATTAAGATTAAAATTTGAATACAAAATATAAGATTGTAACAAAAACAAATGAAACCATATTAAAACATAGAATATTATACAATGGCACGGTTTTCAGTGAAGAACCTAAAAAAAATATGGACAAATGTGTTTATTTTCAGCAATTTATGACGCAAATAACAAAATTAAAAGACAGTTAAAAGACAGACAAATATGAAAAAATAAAAACTGGTATGCGAGTGTAAAAAATGAGAAAATATTTGTCCCGCGTTTTTGTTTTCCCATTTTCTATTTTTTGCAAACATTTTTTGTGTGAGAACAGTTGAATTGATATTTGCGAATGTTGTTGGTGTTGTTGCTGCTGCTGCCGACTAGTTTTTTGTGTGGAATTTTATTTTTCGTTGCTGTGCAAAAGGTGATAAGCTCAAGGACAATATTGCAGTTTGGCATTGCCGGCGCTGTTGCTGCACTCGCCTAAAATTGTTTGTTCAATTGTGTTTATGCATATGGAAAATATCGATTTTGTTTTTGGACAACAAAGCGAGGAATGCCAAACGCAATGGCCGTCACACAATTGGCTCTATTAAGGTCGCCGGGCTGTTTAAACTTTGGAGTCGTTGCGAAACGAGGAAGGAATCATTGGCTAACTGCAATTGTCTTCCCCACCTGTTGCCCGTTTATATTTTGGTTTGAGAGGGGATTTGGCCAGCCAAAGTTAAATTAAAAACATTTTTTTTCGCCCTCTCAACGTTCTTTATTTTCCCAATCCCAATCCCAATTCCAATCCTCGTTTGGGACACGCCTTCTATGTGGAGCAAAGCCCAATCTCCTCGGCCAGCTAAAACAACAACTGCCTGTTGCACTTGCTATATACCTTCCAGTGCACTTCCAGTGGCCCCAAACCCCAACCACCCACTACCCACCACCCACCGAACTATATGAACTATATAGTGGCGCAGGAAGGAGACGGAAAAAACTGCGAGTAAGAAGCGAAATACGAAAAATAAGCACAAAAAATCCAGAGCCTCCCAATTGTGGAAGCCATCCCATTCCCATTCCCATTCTTCGTCCTTCCGAGCAGCGCAACAGTTTATTTTTTCACAGCATTTTCCCAGTTTTCCTCGCCACACGAGGATTGGGGGTTATGCTGAAATGAAACAAAGCCCTGCCGGATTTTGTTGTAAACAATTTGTGTAAGGTTTTAGTGAATTCTATTAATAACCTAATTTTAAAATTCCTAACATATTTCAACACTGGTAAATAAGCATTTGTGATAGCCGCTTAATTTAACTATGAACTTTTTATTACTTTAAAATTATCTTATTAAGACAGCAATACAATGATTTAACATACATAAGCTTAGTTTTCTTAGAAAACGTTCGGATTTATGTATAAGTTTATCTTAACAAAATTATGAAATAATTCCTTTATGCAAAAAAAAGTTGCTTAAGTAAGGGAACTTATGATATAACGCAAATATTGCTATAAAGGATTGTGTTTTAATTCGGCCAAAATGTTTTCTGTGAAAGCGTTTATTTGCAAAGTTATAGTAATTTTAAATTTTTAAATTTTTTTCCTAGGTATATGTTATAAAAAATATATGCTTAATATGTTTTAATTTTGGATGTACAACCCAATAAACCTTTCTTGAAGAATTAATCCGCTGTTTAAAAAGCTTTGTTCAGCAGCTAGTTTAGAAAAAATATATGCATAATTTTAATTGTAACTAATTTTATATTTCGCTACTTCCTGAGAATGCAAGCATTTTAGTTTTCATCAAATGAGTCACGCATTTCCCCGGGGTGTAGAAGTGGACCTAGACCCTTGCCTTTTGGAGTGTGAGTCACTCATTGAGCGATAAATGCATGGCGACTACTGCCCGACTTCCCGGAGTGGCGGCAACTTGTTGCTCTTGCTGTTGCTGCTGTTGCAACATCTAATCCAATCCAAGGCGAACAATGGCGAATGCAAATGCAGATGCAACCACTTCCTTTTGTCTGCCAGAGGAGGCGAGATGAGGAGGCCGTGTTGCAATTGCCGTTGTGCCGCCGATGTTGCTGCTGCTGCTCAAGTTGCTGCTGCATTTGCTGTTGCTGCTGCTGCTGCTGCCTTGTGTTGATGGTCAAGGTCATGAACCTGTTCCAATAACTCGTTTCTTACGTGCAACACACACTCACACTCACACACAAAGAAGGCAGACTGGTAGTCACATGACTGTGTGTTGCATGTTGCCGCCGGTTGCACAACAGTCTAATGGTAATCCTGAAGCAAATGGGAGCCGGGATGACTAATGGGGATCCGCACAAATCAATTTGAGAACATGAAATTAAATTTCAATCCATCTTGGCAAGCGCAAGTCGCTTGTGCCGCAAATTAAAGCTGAAAACTTGTCGTCGTCGTCGTTTTCGTTGTCGTGCAATGCGGAAAAGCCTCAAGGACAACGGCGAGTGAAAAGAAAATTGCCACGCGTGGGCGGAACGTCAGTCTGCCCCCACTTTTATCCCCATCTGATTCATTGTCTTATTTTTTTGCGTCTAGCGGCTGACTGTGTCATAAATCGCCGCAAATGAATTATTCGAAATCAAATGCAATTGTGCACAAAGCGAATCACTTGGCGAAAAATATCTATATAAAAACAATAACAATAAAAACATCAGCCGCAGCAGTGTTTTCCGTCTGTCAACTTGAAATTAGAAGCGCATTAATTAGAAATTTTTATTATTCTCTCGCATTAAATTCACTTCCACTTTAGTTGTCTTTCTCTTTTTTTTGTCATTTAATTGTTTTATATTTTTTCTTCCATTCAAATTTAATACATTCCGAGTTGACATTTATATTTGCGCATTAATTGCTTGTTAAGATTTCCGCGAATTCAATTTTTTGTAGCTCGAAAAGGAGAACCCATTCATGCCCATTGTAGGTGACACAGAGTGTTTGTGAAAGCAAATATTGCGAGGGGCCAAGGGGAGATTCACCCATGAGAGGCACTTGTTGGGCTTCTGAATGCAATTGCTTTGATTTCTTGGACTGATGGAAAGTTTTTAGCTTTTCTTACATGTACATTTGATTTTCCACAATTGGTTGGTATTGGTTTTTGAATGTGACGCCAAAATAGATTATATATATTATTAAAGTAGATAACAACGTTTATTGTAGAGTTTATTTTGAGCAAGTAGCACGATCAAAATGCAACAAATCAGTGCAATTATTTAAGATGACTCACAGGAATTAAGAGTCATCAATTTATTCACCAGAACCAAACCCATAAAAATTGGAAAGTGCATGTGCAACTGGCTAACTATTTTTTTTTTATGCGAATGAATAATCTTTACTTTTAAATAACAAGATAAAAAGAGAAGATGTTGGCTATTTGTGGTTAAATTCCGGGGAAATCCAGAATTTCATATACCTACTTATAATTCAGTATTGTTTGAAATCTAAAGGATGACTTAAGGTATATTGACATGCTGATGAGAAATAGGTATTTTAAAAATAAAAAAAGGATTTAGATTAAATAATAATAAAACAAAAAATTATACAAAAATTAAATCGCCAATTAAAAAAAATTTTAAAATTAAAACTACATTAAATTAATATAAGTGTTTTTTACAAAGAAAGCCAACCCTTATGGTAAAATGCAAATGTAATAATATTTACATAAATGAAAAACCACTGAAGTTCCTGCTCAGTATTTTATTTTACTTTCTGATATAAAGCTAAATTAATAATAATTAATTTTTGTACTTACGTTTCTTGCCAGACTGTCCCAATATTTACAAACTCATTTACGGAAATATTTTAAAAATGTAGGCTGTTTTTGTTTTAGTTGTATAAAAAGTTTGACTTTGTTTATGGTTATTTGGCGTTTTTGTTTTTTTGTATTAAACTTTTTTTTTTGATTTGTTTTATATATGTTTGTCATAGCACTTTAGCATTTTCAGCATTTTTTTTTTCTAGTGGTCTGGCATGTCAACTAAAAAATTTTGTGTCATAAGAAAAACGCACGTAAAATGATTTTCCCTCCTATATTATTGTTGTTGTGTTGTGGGGAAGAGGAAGCATGTAAATGTGGTGTGTGTAGAAAATAAATAAAAAATTCGCACACCGCGACCAGCGTCAACAACAAACAAATAACAGCAACAACACTAGTAGACGGACGTTACTAATACGCAAGAGCGCCGCCGGCAGCGACGTCGACAGCGCTGCAGCAGCGAACGACGCGTTTTTACAGCACACCGATCCGAACCCAAATCGGGCCTGAGAATAGTGGAGAATCCGAGTATCCGAGAATCGAGAACCGAGAATCCGAATCCAAATCAGCGAACCGCTCGAGCCGACGGACAATAAAGCTAAAGCCAGCCTGCCACAGCTGAGCAGACCGCTGCATTTTTGCTTTGGCGAGCGGATGCACTCACTCACACACCGAACCACCCTTTTTCACTCAGCCAGAAAGTGCATTCAATGTGGGCAAGTCACTCAAAGAGAGTGTGAGAGAGAGCGAGTGCCGGCTCATTTTTTTTGCTGCTGCCACAGTATGGGTGCTTCATTCATGGCCTGTTCAGCTAGCCGGTAAAAAAAGGCTAAAAGCGAAATTGGTTAAAACAGAGAGCGAGCTAGAAGCAGAAAGGCAGAATGGCAGCAAAACAAAAAAAAAAGAAAATGGTGGCCCAGAGAGCGCTTGTTTTTCCGCTCAAGTCGCGGGGAAGGCCAAGAGCAAGTACAGTGCAATTTTTAATTGCACTCGCACACACACACACACACACACACACATACACACAGTCGTCGCTCTCTGAGAATTTCACACAAATTTTTTTTCCAGCCAGCATTTTGTTCTCGAGCTTATAAAAATTTGCAACGATTCGTTGTGTGTGCGCTTTTTTTTGTAGTTTTGTTTCTTTTTTTTTTTGTTGTGTAGTTTTTTGGTGGGTTTCGATTTTAAGTCCGCGACCGAATCGCCAGCGTTCGGCACTGGAGGCGCTCACTCACCGCTCGAAATGCAACTGGCGGCCAGCGACGAAGCGAGCCGATCCGAGCCGGCTATACGTCTATATATTTCACTTCCACAACGCTCGAAGGGGATGGGCCGGGGGAGGGGCAGGGGTTACGTAGCCTACCGTTGCACATGCATTTTTTTTTAGTTTTTATTTTGGTTTTGAGCTTTTATTGTTTTTGCTTTTATTCGGTGCGAATGTCGAGTGCGAGAGCATACTAAAAATTATAATAATTCGGTTGTATTTTATGTTACAATCTGGGTTTCGGAGCAAGGAAGTGAGCCCAAGGATTTGCGGTTCCACAGATAGTGACCCCCAAATTGAGCGATCGCCAGATTGAGTACTTTAAAATAGTTCACAGATAAGCTTTCGATTCCAGGAAATATAGCAGGTCGTAAAAGCAGACAGCTCATTTTTAGTAAATACACTTATCTGTCAGTTACCAATTACTATTTATTTTGGTTTTATACAAAAATTCTATTTATTTTGGTTTTATAAAAAAAAATCATTTTTTTATACCAACTGTGTATTAAAATAGATTTAAGAGACTTAAAACGATCATCTTTAATTGGTAAATTTATACGAACATATTCTATTTTGACATAATAATTTTAAAGGCAAATTGCCTAAACTTCGATGACAATAAAAATATAGTTTCTTTAAGCTTATAATTAATAATTAATTAATTATTATAATTTGATGCCAACTTGAAAACCAGCAATTTATTTAGGCAAAAATAAAGACTGTGCTTCAAAGCAATTTAGACAAGACAGTTATAGAATAATCGCCTTTAATAAAGCCTGACTAAATAGTCTGAGAACCCCGAAAACTAGAGAACTACAAATTGACTGACGACTAGTTATTAACCAAAATACTCAACGAGGAACTGATTGCGCACCTTGCCGACTGACCAACTGACGAAATGAGGAACTGAGGAACTGCGAAACTGAGGGAATGACCGACTGAGTCTGAGAATACATACTGCAGCCTGCGATTTTAGCCGATTTGCAGCGACTCAATTGCATGTCATTGTAGACGAAAATATTTTTAGTTTTATTGTTATTATTTTCCTTTTTTTGTGCATTTTTTTGTTTTCGGCGCAGTGTTGGCGTTGACTTGAACAACTTATGGACCGGACCGAGAATGAGACGTGGGCGGCAGTGGAGGGGGAAGGGTAGGGGGTTTGGGGCTACTCTGGGCCTGGCCCCTGGTCTCTGCCAGAATTTTGAGTCGTGACTGGTTTCAAGGTCCCTCAATTAATGCGAAAATTTCGTTGTAATTTTTTGTGCCGCTTTTTTTTTTGTTTTTATTCTGTTTGTGTTTGCATGATTGTAAATGAAAGAAACAAAATTCGTGTATAATAAAAATAGTAATTGTTTAGTTCTCGGGTTTTTTTGTTTTGCTGTTTTGTAATTTGTTTTGGTTTTTATGTGCTGTGGCAGAATTGTTTTTGAATGATTTTCTAATAAGCGAAATATTTATGCATTTAATTGCACTCGCAACTGACCTTGGCCAGCTGTTTGCACAGATCTGACATTTAGGGGGTAAGAAAGGTGGTAAAAGGAGTGGGCAATTTAAGGCTTAAGCTTAGTAACATTGAAAATCAATGGTTTATAGCTCAAGAATTTTATGGTATAGTTTTTACAATATATGTTCTTACTTTGTTGAATAAATAACATAGACTTTAATATTAATGATCGATGATATTTTGAATAATTAAATTAACGGCTTAAATTTATATCTTATACTCTTTGACCCAATAAAATTTTTTATTGTATTGAACTACCGCTTAATCTGCAAAGCACATTCAAAACTTACAAAAACAAATCATAAACCTGTATTTACATGAAAAAAAAAATATTTCCGTAAAGTAAGCGACAATCGCCTTGAGCGAAATGAACCCTCAAGGACTTGACAGCCAACCACTTTAAATTGCATCTTCCGGCGAATCAGCAAAAAGTACCAAAATACGCTCTTGCATAATTATCCTTTGAGCTTCAAGCCTCAACCCACCCCTGGCCCAAAATTGATGCCCACATCCGCTGGCGAACTCAACCACTGAACCACTCGGCACAAGTACGTCGAAAAAAATTGAAAACCAATGCAAAAACAAGGAGAGCCGAAAAAAAGCAGAACTTCAAAACATAATGTCGCCATCAAGGAACATATATAATTGCTGTGTTTACAAAAGATAAAATCGGCGACAACATGCACACGACCCGAACTTGCGAAAGGAAAAAAAATGCACCAGAGAGCCAACGAAATATGGATAAAAAACAAAAACGGATGACGACCGAGCAATTAAAATTAAAACCACGTAAGCAAATGCGACAAAAACCCCCGAAAAAGTCACAGAAAGGGTTTGGGGGTAGGAGGAGGGGGAGAGACACTGAAAAATCCACCCCAAAGCAATTGCATTCTGTACACAAAAGATGCACGAACCAAAACGTGCAATTTGTGTTGAATGCATTTCGAAAAATGCAAACAAAAATCGGAAAAAAAGTTCCCCAAAAAAATGGTATGAAATTTTTGCATAATGAAAAATGCAGCAGGCAAAACACACACACATCACACATAACGAATGTATATATATATTATATATACTCACAGCCTATAATGAAACGTACGTTATGCATGGGCATTGAAAGTCGAGCTGCAGCGAGAACTGAGCCGAGTTGAGTTGCAATCCAGACCCAAAAATATATTCTAAAATTAAAATGCAACGGCCTGACGCAATGCAAACAGCCAAAGGGGTGCAAACACACTCGCACAGACCCTCACACGCACACACCATCCCACTACGCACACCATTTCAGCGGCGAGCACAAAGAATGCATTTTTGTGCATCTTGAAGATACTCTTGGACGGGGCTAAAAAAAAAAAAACAGGAAGAAAGGGAGGAACGAGCAGATTGCCGGAGGGTTAAAGGGTTCCAGACTCCCAGACTTCTAGGCTCGATTAATGAACAATCTTCAAATGCATTTTTGCTACAAAATTATGCATTTCCTATGCGCTAACAAATGGGTTGATATAAGGTAAGCCACTAAGAAGTCCGCTATACCCTTTAAACATTTTACGTTTCGGTTAAAGTAATTTATATAATTTATAAGTGTTAGTTTTATTTTCTTCCGTCTTTTTTATGATGTTTTCTTGGAAAATTCATAAGAAAACAAAATATATTAAATTGAAAATCAACAAGGCCCAAGGTATTCCTAAAACTGATTAAAATATTATTTGTTGCCTTGAGCAAATCAAATTACTATTTTAATGTTAATTCGGGTCATTGTAAAATTGTTATCAGTTTGAGGAATATACATTTTATTGAATTTATGTTACCATTTTAAATCAGCGCTGAACTTAGTTTATGTTAGTTAACTATTTTTCGTTTTGAAATAATTATAAAATTGATAATATTTTAAATAGGTTTATATTTTAATTGTATTAAATTTGAACGCGTTTAATTAACATGATGTAATTTTTTGTTGATTTAACTTAATTGTATGAGTTAATTTGACACTTTGCTAAACTCTTTTAAAATACTCTTAAATTTCTTTAACAAACTCCTCTTAAAAGCCAAGAAACCCTGCCAAAAGGGCATAGAAATTGTCAACTGCTAGGTCCAGCATTTGATTGGGCCAAATGAGAAGCGCCCAAGTGCCGCGCAGGAAGCCAATTGCATCCGTTTCAAGTCCGGACAGGCAGCGTTTGGCAACTTGCAACTGGCAACTGGCAAGTGGCGGAACTGAGCCAAGTGCCAAGCGCCAACTGTGGAGCGGAAGTAGCTGAAATGAGCTTGGGAATGAGATAGTTGAGTGGGCAAGGCGATGGACTAAAAAACATTCTCCTCTCGGCCGGCCATCATAAATAATGAGGCGAAATTAAGCTCG